AAGTTGGTTTGATGAGAAAACTAGATAGTTAGATAGATGGTAGGCAGGGTGTTATGATTACGCTAATATGTGTAGCTAACAAAGCAGTCCTCTTTAAAGGAAATACCACTAAATACCAGTAGTTTATGACTGTAGTGCTATTGAGATAATCACTCCCAGGAAGTTTCAACTGAAAAAAAAAAATGTTTTATAGATGATTCAGTTCACCTGCTATGTGCACATTTTAAGAGAACGAATTAGTCAGTCTGTTTGAATCATCTTTATGTGTTCCTTTTAGTGGGGAACTCAAAGTTGGTTAAATGGTTAGCACTATTTCAGAAAGAAAAAAGCACAAAAGTAAAAAAGCCACTCTATACTGAAAGCCTAATCCAAACACATCATAGGAATAAATGTCGTAAGAAAAAAATATGAGGAAATATTTCTATAGAGAAACTATAGAGTCACTACCAATACAAATATTAAAATTGTCCAACCTAGCAGGTTATATAGATGGAGATGAGAAAGCAGTATGTGCCAACCCAATGATATTGGAGTAAAATATAATTGTAGAAAAACATTCTCAGGGTTAGAAATTATTAAGGTGAAAATAACTTCTGAGTTTGTTACCACAACCCAGGAGTACACTTATAAATATTTAACAACCATCCTGACAGTTGTTTTTCTTTCAACCCTGGTTTGTTGTGTTGGCCAATTTCGATGGTGTAAATGCTCCCATGATGGCCAATTTCAGTATCAAGACAGGTCACTAAATGGAAGTTAGGAAAAGATACACATTCTAGGTTGTCTGCTTGTGCCAGAAGGCTCTGGCATAAGACTATTTCACTACCATAATTTACAAATAAGAAAATAGCTAAGGCCAAAGAAATTAGTGCCTACTTTGGTCAGACAACTGATTTGCTATACTACCACACTTAAATCTCATTTCTCCTCCATGCTGTGACTCAAGATCATAAGTACATTATGAAAAAATGATCATGATTGACAAGCATTTATGTGTCTTCAGCACTCTGCACAGTATGTGGAATTTAGTAGGTGCTCAGAAAAACATTGATGATATGAACAGGCTATAGTAGAGCACAATTGCACTGTTTTTAATGGCTCCTATGCCTTAACTTAATGGCTCTTAAGAGTTGCTCTAAGTAAGCTAGGTACTGTAATCACTCCCATATTCAGAAGAAAAAGTAGACTCTTAGAACTTATTTGCCAATAGCATACAGACTAGGAGTTCAAACCTTGTATTCTGTTTCCAGTCTGTGCACTGGACACTTCAGCTGTCATCCAATAACTGCCAGTGTCATCAGGGTGCACTGCTCAGCAACAAATACTTTCAAAAGATCTCCCCCCATTTTTTAAGAACAATTCTTAGAAAAGACTTAGTCTCACCAACACACATCTTTGTTGATGGAGAAGGAACGTAATTAATTGAAATGATCAAGGAAATGGGGTGTTTAAGGTTTCTCATTATCTGAGGATTAAACAGAAACCCATGTTTTAATTTAAAATCCTGTTGTTGACTGTCGATCCTAGGCATTTGTTTACTTGTTCGTTTGTCTTTAAAAATGAACCCTTCTTTGATTTTTTTCAACCTGAAAAAGTCATCACCATTTGCTTTCAAGAGAAAGTGTAGGAGACTGGGCTACTCCCTCCAGTATGTTCTGCAAGTCTTTTTCCTTAAATAGGAAAAATAATTTTCCTGCTGGTTTTCTTGTGATTTGCTATCTCATTAATTAGGATGACAAAAAAATTATAATACATTTGTATGGTTTTTTTTAGATTCTAATTATTTGAGTGAGTGGCTTATGTATCAAGCTTAAGCTATGGAACCTTGTTTTGTAAATATAATTTATTGTAATACCTCAGATATTTAAAAAAAAGATCTTCAAAAAACCTAGCAGGGAAAAAAACTCATCCATCCTCCACACCACATTAATAGGTAGCAACTAAGATGCAAATTGGTTGTAATGCTTCCCCCATCCCCACTTATGGCAGTAATGGTTCATTAATTTTCTTCCTTTATTATTTTTTCCTAGAGAAAATACAGCAATAAGTATTGTATTGGGCTAATGTCTCCAATTTTCAAAGATACATTGATACCATGATTAGAAGTACATTTATTTTTATGCATAATATATTCTGGAAAGCTTAGATAAATATTTATGGTTTGTTTGCAGCTTGTATTTACCTACTTGTCCCAAGTCCTCCTTTTGTTGTACTCCTTGTCATACCCTCTACCAACACCAAAAATTTTCTAGTACAGTGAGATTTACATATAAACAGTGTAGATATACATAAAAGTAACAAGTAAAATACCCTATATCTATGTTGATATGTGGTATATAACACTGTATCACAAAGTATTTTCAAAGATGATATCTCGTTTAGATATAAGACATTTGTGTGAGGGGAGTGGACACTGGTACTCAGAGATAGATGAATTGCCTGAAGTCACACAGCTAGAAAGAGAAAGGGCCAGAACCAGAACTATTGATTGTCCACTATGTGCTCCAGTAATTTAGCATGGGAAGATGTTTCAGTCCTAGTGAAGCATTTAAGAGTAAAGTTCTGATGCCAGGCAGGAACTCAATTTTGTTCTGTGTGACTTCTGGCAAGTTCGCTCATCTAACAATGAAGAATAATACTACTTCCTACTTCACAGGGTGTTTATGAAGAGTAAATGAGAGAGTTTAACAGAATGCCTGGCACATGGTAAGCATTCAATACATGTTAATTGTTTTTATTATTTATGGTTTATGCTTCTTCCAGTTCTTTAATGAAACTTTGCTTAGCTCTGTGATTCAACTACAGTTCTCTAGCCTGCAAACTCTGCATCTTCAATCAGATACCTTCATTTGGATTCTATAAATCATTAACCTTATGCTTTTGTTTTCTTTCATAGCTCAGGAATGAGAAGAGGTAGTCATAATACAGTATGTCTTATTTTACATGCACCCTCAGAGCTACTAAGCAGTCCTCTCTTTCATTTCTTGCTGACCTCAGTTTGCATGCCCTCTGTAGCTATTCTAAACCTTTTCCACTAAAGGCCCTCCTCTGTATCCAGCACTTTTACCCTATGATCATATAGTCTAACTCATTTTAGAACATTACTATTATATACCATGCACCCCTTCATTGTCCCAGATGCATATCTGCTTCTCCTCTTCTCCTCTCTCAAAGATAATGACATTTCCCATGTTCCAGGCTTTTGTTCCTTAGGAATATTTCTCCAACAGTTTTTTCCTTTTCATTTATCTCTTTGCTTTCCCCTCTGTACTAGGCTCAGCTACTTTCACTTTTGCCAGGTGTTTTCTCTTATGCCTCTTTATTCACAAACTGCCCTGCCTGTAAGGATTTTCCATTTCTCATCCTCCTTCAAAATTCAGCGCTATCATCTTTTCCCTTCTGGTTTGACTGTCCTTCCTTAGCTTCCCCATAGATGTCTGTCAACCCATTGCTTCTACCAAATGACTGTGAGCTTCACAAGGAAAGGCATCATGCCTCAGTATCCTTATTGCTTAATTGTTCTTCACTCATTTATTCAACATATTTGGTTCCTACTGTGTTCTGGGCTCTATGCCTAGTACTTGGAATAGAATGATGAGCCAAACAGACATTGTCCTTGCTCTCTAGGACCCCAACACAGTGAACTGAATCCTATTTCTCATACTCATAATGTTCCATGCCTACTTCTCTTGAAGCTTTTATCTATTTGGACTGTGCTTTGCAGGGGGTTATAATGTTGTGTGGTGTAGTAATTTGTATTTGTGTATTATCTCTCAACCACATCGATATTCTCTGGAAGATAGGGATCATTCCCATTTCCAATATTGCAAGTTCAGAGTTATGTGCATAATGCTGTGATTTTTGTAAACTTATGGTTAGTCTTTGACATAATTACAATACATGTCTGTTTTTAGAGACTCCTCTAAAAGGACTGTTTAATTTCCATTCATAACTACTCCAAATAGACAAACTACTCTGTAACTTGCACACCTTAAGCTTTGTGTGTGTGTACTTTTGTTCTTTTAAGTATGGTAACATTGAGTTACAATACTGTATATATGATTTAGGGGTAAGTTGACATCTCACCATATCATGTGTCATCATACTGCACCTACCACGCTTCTCCAAAGAAAGCACACCTTAAGTTTTTAAAAATTGGATAATAAATCCACCCTTGCTTCCTAGTAGAAATATTGTCTATGTGCATATAACACAATGTAAAAATGTTATTTTTACTAAATAACTTCTGACTTGGTAATGAAAAATATGTTTTTTGTCTGAGAAATAGGACTTTAGTTCCAAAGTTTTCAACTTGCTGTTTTTTATGTTCCCAGATCTGACATTAAGTTAAGCATTTGTCTATTCAAAACAATAGGTCAACTATAGCCAAATTATAACTATACCTTTCCTCTCTACAAAAAAAAATCCTATAAACAGCATGTGATCATATTGCTTCTAGAACGTAGGATTGTTTTCTTCCAAAAGGAAGCTAAATTTAGCCTAGTAATTCTACATGCTCCCAAGGAAACAATGCCTGCTGTGATTTCTAGAGTAAATGAATCTGAACCACAATTCCTTTACTTGATTAACTGAGGAAGTTTGAATATCAACCTAGTCATTAACCACAGATATTGAACCACATTAAGCAACCAGCAAGGGGTTAAGAAAGAATTTGCTATTGTTTCTGACTTCACTGCCGAATGATTCTAACGTAGTTCTGTGTCCTTAATACAGAACATTGTTTGCATCTCATAATCGTTCTCTAAAATTACTTGTTCATGGTTGGAGTTCTAAAATTAAGCTATGTGGAGTCATGTCCAACTGCACAATGCATCTTTATGTGAAACCAGCTAGAGTTATTTTGTTTTCACTCAATGTAAAACTTTCAGTTAGGAAACTTTGCTTCTAATAGTTTAACTGGTATCTCTCAGCTGCTGCTTCTTTGTTTCAAATGACAATTAAATGGCTTTTGCCTTGAATGTGTTTTTGGCAGATTAACTTCTCACCATGAAAACCCCTGCTGTGCTGACACCTGGCATCCTTGTGCTTCTGTTTACCTTGGTGCAGAGGAGCAATGGGGAATGCAAAGAAGCACTAGTAAAGTCTGAGATGAATGTGAATATGAAGTATCAGCTTCCAAACTTCACTTCGCAAACGCCCATTCAACATGTCGTTTTACACAAGCATCACATTTACCTCGGTGCTATTAATTACATATATGTTTTAAATGACAAAGATCTTCAAAAGATTGCTGAGTACAAGACTGGGCCTGTGCTGGAACACCCAGATTGTATCCCATGTCAGAACTGCAGCCACAAAGCCAATTCATCAGGTGGCATTTGGAAAGATAACATTAACATGGCATTGCTTGTTGACACGTACTATGATGACCAACTCATTAGCTGCGGCAGTGTTCACAGAGGGACCTGCCAGCGACATGTGCTTTCACCGAGCAACACAGCTGACATACAGTCAGAGGTTCACTGTATGTACTCCCCACAGGCAGATGAAGAGCCTAGCCAGTGTCCTGACTGTGTGGTAAGTGCCTTGGGGACCAAAGTCCTGCTGTCTGAAAAGGAGAGGTTCATCAACTTCTTCGTGGGCAACACTATCAACACTTCCTACCTTCCAGATCATTCATTGCATTCAATATCGGTGAGAAGACTAAAGGAAACACAAGATGGTTTTAAGTTTTTAACAGATCAGTCATATATTGATGTTCTACCCGAGTTCCGAGATTCTTACCCCATTAAGTACATCCACGCCTTTGAAAGCAACCATTTTATTTATTTTTTGACAGTCCAACGGGAAACTCTAGATGCTCAAACTTTTCACACGAGAATAATCAGATTCTGTTCTGTAGACTCTGGGCTGCATTCCTACATGGAAATGCCACTGGAGTGTATTCTCACAGAAAAGAGAAGAAAGAGAGCCACAAGGGAAGAAGTGTTTAATATTCTTCAAGCTGCATATGTCAGTAAGCCTGGTGCCCATCTTGCTAAACAGATAGGAGCCAATCTGAATGATGACATCCTCTATGGGGTGTTTGCGCAAAGCAAGCCAGATTCTGCTGAACCAATGAATCGCTCGGCCGTCTGTGCATTCCCCATCAAATTCATCAATGAATTCTTCAACAAGATTGTCAACAAAAACAATGTGAGATGTCTCCAGCATTTTTATGGACCCAACCATGAACACTGCTTTAATAGGGTAAGTCACACAGGTTCCCCTTTCACATCTTATAAGTATAAATCAGAATAAGTAGCAGTCTAAAAAAAGAACAGCAAGGACTTTTCTGTACTTGATAAACACTCTTTATCGAAAATGTTGCCAATTCTTCCCAATAAAATTTAGAAATTGAACCTTCACTTAAAAGTAAAATCATAAAATCATAAGAGGTAATGAAAAGAAAAAAAAATGTTTTAACAATTTGAGTTTGCACTTTTGCCAACACTTCAGATTATTAAATTGATCTCTTAAATAAACTTTAGAAGCTCTGATAGGATTTACACAAAGTTTAACAAATCAACAATCCCTGTAAAACATGATTATTGATTTTAATGGAGTCTTTCCAACATTTAGAATAAGACAATTAAGTTAATTTGTGGCATTCAGGCTTTTTTCCTTATGAGTAGTTTTCTGACCTTCCTTGATAGTGTCCCAGATGTTACTCCAAGTAACTTTTCCTAAAGCTAGAAAGATAATTATGGGGAAATGAATTTACCTTGTAGTGAACTTAAGACACACTTTCTCTCCTCTCTCCAATTTTTATGAATAAACATAATAACAATACCTGTATATGTTAAGTGAGACTAATTTCTTTTTGTGTATACCTAATAAGTCTAACAAACTGTAAGAAGCAACGGAATGTTTTGTCCCCTTTTCTCCACTAGAAAATACAGAAGAATGAAAAGAACAAAAGGACTTTTAGAAACCTGGAATTAGCAAATAAAAGTGAAATATTAGTAGCATTCCAGAGATAACACTTTTCTTGTGTTCGATAAATTACTTCACACACACAAGTTCTTAAATGGTCTACTAGGAATTCCTCTGAGGTCTCTAGAGCACAACTTTACTATTTAAATCTTGTTTTGTTAAAAATTCTATAAAGACTATACTTTATGAGACTATATTGATATCTCCTTCCTTTATTTTTTACATTTCATTCCAGATGTAAAAGCATTTGTTGGTTCTAGAAAGTTTTAAAACACATATAACTTTATTTTACCTTTTTGACTTTTTTAATGTTCCAAAAGTAACAAAAAGGCAGTATTAACCAATGAAATTTATGTCAGTTTATTGTCCAGGAAAAACGCCCAAAATATACCAGCCACACCTGAAACCATTATCATTCCCCTCACAAAAATTCTTGTGGGAAACACGATGGAACTTGCCAACATAGTCTTCTCACAAGGGAAGCCAACTTTTGCACTAGCCAAATTCCATAAAGACAAATACCTTCAAACCTCCTCTTATTTATTTGCCTGTTTATCTACTCTGATTACTAAAGATCAAACTTCTTCCAAGAATAAGACTATGCACAATTTTCATATACCTTAGATTGTTCTAATAATCACCAGTCATTTCCTACCGTCATCTTCAAATTAAAGTACCTAGAGCCGTCACCAACAAAAATAAAGTGGTTTGCAAGATCAAACTAGTTTGAAAAGCAGTAATATAATTCCATTCTGTTTTGGCAAGCTATGGGGTAACCCTTCTAACACTTTACTAGAATTGAGTTTTTAATCTTAGCATAAAGTGGTTAATGAACACACATGCACTTTTTTTTCTTAATATCTCTAATCAGTCAGATCTTTATGGGGGCATTGTTGTGCGCTCTGTGGCCAAGGCTACTTAGAAAGATGCAGCAGTAACTTTCCACTGAGGGCCCCCTCACACCCCCCAGAGGGTGAGCACAGCCACAGAAGGGGTTTTCTGCCCTGCCCTGAGCTTCCTGCATTGTGTTAAAAGAGTTTGTATCACAGACTCAGACAAAGAAATTACAAAGATAGAGTCATTTATACCCTAGGTGTCCAGCAGGTGTATCACGGCTAACTTGCTCATTAAAGATCACATGTTATCCTGCCTTTTCCACTCACACATTTTATAAAACGCGTCTGTGAAAACTTTTCAAATGCATCTTCTCATTTTGATGACATCATTAATATTCTTTTTTGAACCATGTAAGAGTTTCTAGGGCATATCCCCTTCACCTCTCAGTCACTTATGCTTCAGAACTCCGTGATTCCACCTCAGATGCTGTTTCCAGCCTCAGGTACCCATTCATGTAACATTAGTGTTGGTTATATCATTTTCTATGTTGCTTTTAAAAGTGATTCTTAAAGGGTTTGTTTATAATGATTTTCACCACTTAGAATTATGAACATATACCCACAAATAATTACTTAATCTGTATTAGATATCTGTACCTCTTTTTTTTCATTAGTGAGCCTCAATAAGTATCCTAAATCAAAATTGCTTGAAGTTTCTCTTAGCTAATTCTTACTACCCAAACAGTACATTATTATTCAAAATAAGTTGAGAAAATGCCCCATAATATGGAGACTTTGTACAGTCGCAATTTTGAGAAGAAAACAAAAACCTCACCTTCTCTTTTGGGATAAACAATACTAAAATTTCAGTAAATTTTAAGCACAGTAACTGAAATCTTCAATAATATAAGTGATTTATTCTTATTACAAAAATAATATTACAGTGACTCCAAAGGAAAAAAAGTCTGATTACATTGGCCTACTTTTCTATAAACAAGTATTGAGTAAGGGAAATTTTTTAAAATCCCAAATCAGCAAAGATGCTGTCTCTAAGTTATAGCAAGAGAAATAAAAGAAAACCTCTTGGAAAGTTTTTAAATCAAAATTGAAGCAAAAGGATTCTTGAAGCATCTCTCACCTACCTAGAAAATAAAACTATCACATCACACTATTTTCTTGCCATCCGTTATAAAAGTTTTGTCTAAGTAAGCATTTAAAAGAATAAACATAGATCTAGCAAACATTTTCAACATTTTGTTTATCTGAATGAACGATGATCAATCCAATGAAGGGGAAACTTGCTATTTGGTGCCAGACACACCTGGATGGACATCCTGCCATATTAAATGGAATACTGTGTAAAGAAAGGCAAATTCAAGTTATAGGCTTGTTTTCTGGAAGCAGCACATTCTGGTTCTATTGCTCATGAAGGTCTCTCACTTTTAGAGAAAGGCTTCTGCAGGGTCCACCCCCATGATTTTTATTTTGTGTAAGTCTTTCTTAAGACTTAATAGTTCCACCCTGTCTCCCCAGGAAATAGGAAAAATGGGAAATATTGGCAGTTTGGGAATGGAGAGAAAGACAGTTGTCTCAGTGTGATAGTCCAGTTAAAAAGTATAGGCTTGATCCTTTCCCCCAGTTTAAATCCTAAACACCCTTGAATATTAAGACTAGATTTATATAATTGGTTATAGTCTGCATTCAAGATTTTGCAGATAATTTAGTTTTAGAAAAAGCCAACCTCCGAGATTGTTTGTATCAAACTTCCTTGTTTTTAAATGTCATTTATATCAAATTCAAAGAGTAGCCAACTACTTCCCAAAATAAAGGAAACTTAAAGTAGTAATTTTCCATCTCCGTTTCAGAGAGTGCCAAAGTTAAAAGGGTCACCACTGAGAGCCATCAAAGGAAGAAAGCAAAGAGGTTAAAGCAGTTTTTGAATGAAAACAAAATCAAACCAAGTTGCAAACAAGAAATAATAGGAATAGGCAGAAAAATAAACATATGGTGATGTTTCTTTATTACTATTATAAAGATGATAGATGAGTAAAATTGGGTTACATTTAAGTTGTAATGGAAGAAAATAATTACAGCCTTCCATCAGGAAACCACAAGGAGCATTATTGATCTCTCATCCTCAGGGCATTTCACATAATATTTAATAAAATAAACAAAGATTTATAACTCTTTATAGGCCATATATCTATAATCTCCCACACCACACCATTTGAACTGGAAATGTGAAGTCAGTGTTACAAATAACATCCATGTAATTACACTGGCTTGGCATGTCTTATTTAAACAATCTAGCACTCTCAAGAGAATATATTTTGTATTAAGAATGAAAAATGTGAAGTCAGATTACAGGGGTTTTTTGCTTCCTGTGTTCAGAAATGAGAGAATGTTATGAAAATGTAATGAGGATTCTTTATTCTAAACACTAAATATTTTGGCCATATGCCCAATGTTATAACTACAAGCACAGTCTTACAAGGAAGAAAATCCTTGAAATATAAGGATTTGATATACTTTATAAAAATTTCTAAGTAGGATTTATTAATTTAAACTTGCTTCCTTCCCTTCTATAAACGTTTTGTTATTCTCTCCCAGGTAAGGGAGTCTCTGCTCCCTAACTTATTTATGTGAATTCTCCATGCTACCTATCCCATGTATAGCATTGTTTTATTAAAAGGAATTTAAGATTATTTTCTTTCCAGAATTTTGTAATACTCTCTGAGATCATTTAACACACCCTGGGGTGTATTAGAGAACATACTATATAATGAGTCATTAACAGTTTTTGCTTTTCTCTCTTCCTCCTGCCAACTGTCCTTAAAACTATTTCATAGCTTATTCTCAAACAAGAGTGTAAAAGCAAAGAGAAGCCATTTTTCTGATAAGCTAGGAGGAAATAAAAATAATTAATAAAACTGTCACTAAAAATGTATGTAGACTTTACCTTTGGATTATATTAATTCATGATGTGATCAATAATATTTTCCATTTGTATGGATAGGTTAAGAGTTAACCTGTGCCACTTTAATTTGAGATTGTCTTTTGAAACAGGTGGTATAATATGTCTTTTACTTAAGCAGTTTATTTCTACAAGGAGATTCATTTGGTAAAATTAGTGTAGCAAACAAGGAATTTGTGCAAAAAGAAAAGAAGTATTAATTAGGACTTTGAATCCAGCACTCTAACATGAATTTTCATTGTTAAACTACCAAATAGTTAGAGATTTCTGAAATCATGTGAATTCCTGCATTTCATAAGAATATTAATCTGCTTCGGTAATAATGGATTTTTCCCTCAGAATAAAATATCAAAATTCGGGTGTTGCACCTTACATCAATCAGACTTATCTCTAATCAGTGGTCATGCCCTCCTACCTCCTCACTCTAATAAGAAAAATGAGATTCTGTCAGAATTTGGAGGAAA